TTTGCCCATATCCATATCTGTATCCTTTCCCGGCCACAAACTCTGATTGGCTTCTGAATTGTACCCCAAGAACAGGCTACCATGCTGCGCTTCCCCTCGCATTTTAGCAAAATTCATTCATATAAACCCGTACTCAGTATTCACTGTATCAAGAAAGAGGAAGATTGCATTAAGAACCGGGGGACTTCATCATCATCATCATCATCATATATGTATATAGGACCATTACAGTCTACAGATGCTATGGCGAGTCATATGGATATGGTGGCATATAAAAACTATGATCATTACAAGATACTGCAAAAATAAAAAAGAAACAAAAAAATAAAAGAGATTTGTAACACTGCTGTGGAACTTGAGAGTACTATGTAGTTGACAAGTAACTGACTAGCTCTAACCCAAAAGACTTGGATCCTAAATCTCCACCTTCTCCATGGTCTGATCCCCACAAAACGAGATTTTGTACAAAAATGGAAAGAAATCTTGGATTCCATTCCTCAAAACCAACTGCCCACTATGTGTGTATTGTATTACCTTTTTGGCCTACACTTGGCTTAGGACAAGCTGAAAATTGGCGGCAGGTATTCTAGGACCTCGTCTTCCTCTTCTCACTCTTCCCCAGTCGATGAAAACCCTTTTCTCCTCCATCTGTTCATGAGGAGAATCAGTCAGTTGCCTTCTCTCTTTCACCGAGATTCTGCTCTTGATCTTATTCATCCAGTACCCGTCATTCCATTTCGTGCCAGCAGTTTCCATTCCCCTCCCCACTGTCTGCAGATCTTCAGAGACTTCGTTTGGGAGGACTTTACGCTTGAAACCTCTGTATTGTCTCTTCCCCTTCCTGACCCGGCCCTTCCTGTGCTTTGTATTGTGCTCCTCTACCTCTGTCTGAATTCCAATGGAAGAATAGTGGCATCCACGTACACATACTCCAAACTCACTCTTAGGGTCCTCAAAGACAGAAGAAGCTATCATGGCAAACCAATGGAGGCTGTCACAATTGGTAATAGCAGAGGTTTCTAGGACAGTGACCGAATTGGATGATGAAATGTTGAATATAGCCTTTGCTGCAGCTATCTCTTCGTCATCATCATCTTCCTCTGTTGCAAGAAAACTCTTCGCCTTTTTCAGTGTGGTTCTAGATTTCTTACCTTGACCACACCCTTTAACTTTTCCCAAAGAACTTACACTCCTCTTCCTTCCACTCGGTTGGTAGCTAGCAGATTTGCATCCGGGAATACACGAGGCAGTACTTGGCAAAAGGTCATCATCCTCGTTAACAGCCAAGTTTGTCGCCAAATCTGAGCCATTGCGGGTTCTGCTCTGCGGACAAGTTGCTGCACCAGTGTTTTTCGGGTAACATTTTACATTCTTACAAGTTCTGGAGCTTCTGAACAACGGTTTATGGCCTTTTTGTAAGGATGCGACGCCTCTGGAAGACGGAAGTGCTTGAACTACCATGCGTGATCTCCCTCCTAAACCGTGGTTTACGTGCGATGAATGTGAACAAGACTCTTGAGGTTGTTGGGCCTCAATCTTCTCGGAAACAGTTGATTTATCATCAGATGAGAGCGGAGACATATTCAAGTCAATACCCTTCTCTGCAGAAAGGAAGCAGCTCAGAGGTTATCAAGAGCAATTGATGGAATCAATTTAGCTTCTTACCCGAATTGTTAGAGTGTATATATACATATTCTCTACATACATTTCTCACCTGCTTGACACTTTATAGGAAATAGTTGGTCTTGCGCTTCTTCGTTCATCCCATGTGAACCACTTTCTGAATCTCCATCATTCCTTGTATTAGATTCTCCCACTATTGCATTGGCAGTGCAGAGGCCGGTAACTGGATTCATGAACTGATTGAGCTCAATTTCCAATGGTTCCTCAATCTCGGCCGGCTCGTTCAAGTCAAGAACACATTTAAACTTGGACGAATCCGTAAATTGATGTAACTTATCTAGCTGGAAATCAGATTCCATGGAAATGCTTCTTGGTGACGGCTCTTTCCACAAGTTGGGAGCCTCCTGGACTTCTCCATCACGTGAAACTCTCCCTTCCCCGATATCAAGATACTCATAACCCGATAATTCAAGATCCAAAACCTCCTTTCCAGATTTCTCGAAATCAGTTCCAGAAAGCCCGGCTGTAATCCGGGTAGAGGGTTCTTCGCATGGCAAAATGCTCCTTTGAAATGTGGAAATATTTGAATTCATCCATGGCACTGTTTTTGTACGACATTTTCTAGGGAAATCCCGAGGGAAAGCTCGAGAAAAACCAGCAATCGGGGGCAAAGACTCAGGATGTCGAGGTAGATTATGCGAGGAAGTTCCCTCCATTTCCACCATCAGTTCTCTCTGCCTCCAATAAAGGCGATGAAGCTCATGGATCTGAACTTACAAGAAACAAACTCTTAATAGAAGGACAATATAAATACCGAGATTGAAAATCCCTTTGGCTGTGTGAGAAAGAAAATACCTGATCTTCAAAGACAGATTCATGCTCGAGCATTGTCTGTTTCAGAGATTCCTTAAAGCGTTTCAGATAGAGACCGTAACACGTAAAGGAAAATGCACCGTTCAAGTTGAATCCACCAGTTTTGACCATATCCATATCTGTATCCTTTCCCGGCCACAAACTCTGATTGGCTTCTGAATTGTACCCCAAGAACAGGCTACCATGCTGCGCTTCCCCTCGCATTTTAGCAAAATTCATTCATATAAACCCGTACTCAGTATTCACTGTATCAAGAAAGAGGAAGATTGCATTAAGAACCGATGCCGACATAACCAGAACTGTCTTTTCTTCTTCCAGAACCTAAACTCAATCTATAGCAAGAAGATAACATCAGATGTACATGTTCTATAAACTCAATCTGCATCAATCTTTTTAATGCTCTTTTTCTCAACAGGAGCTCCACAGATAATCATGTAACCCATTTGAACTCAAGTTCATGAAGTTGTGCAGAGTAACTAAAGCCATGGAATTTCAGACAAACACTGCGGAACTAATGACAGTTACGAGAAAGGAACTAGATCAGAGTGAAGCAGAGCCAATGGGCTAAGACACAACTCTCTAAACTTGATTCAGATTATAAGGAAGCTAAACTTTCGATTAAGAACATCGGCATTGATGATTGAGCTTATAATACATGCACGAAGAGGCATAATTACAGAGCTCCATGATAGCATTTCAGACACATGAACGGAGACATCGAAAATGATTACACTCAAATCTAACAAAAAAGAAAAAAGATGAGGCAGAACCCAGAAACCATAATCGAAAGCGATAACCCATGAGCAAAATAACGAATCGAAAGGGTTTTAAAACAGCATAAACACAGTCCAGCAACATGCGAAAGAGATTATGAACTTGAAAACCCGGTAACTAAAGGGAAAACGCTCGTAATTCAGAAAAGATAAAAAGAGATCTGAACGGCGAGCGGCTGATTTCGGAGCATTCCAATCTCACCTTAGGAAAGGGGGAAAACAAATCGGTATCCAAAAACTCTCAAGTGGTTTTCTCCGAATCATTCATCTTCAGCTCAGGAAACAGAAGATAGACTGAGTATACTATGATCTGGGAAAATGGGGATCACCCACATAAAACGGAAGAAACACGGAAGAGTGAGGATCTATGATTTGAAATTCCCAAGAAGGGCGAGAAGTGGGTACTGGGGATCTGCTGCTGGGCCATTACCTAGGAAGATTTTGGCAGAGAGAGAGAGAGAAGGGAGAATCGGCGAATTTCTCAGGAAACAAACAGAAAACTTACAAAGGAAGCGAGACTTGAGATTTGAGACCCTACAAGGCAGAAAAACCTCTTCTTTTCTCTCTTCCTTCTGCGCACACTCCGATTCCGATTCCTCTGCTGTCTCTTTCTGACATTTAATGTATGCCTCCCTGATTCTTTTTCGACGAAATGTGTGAAGAAACTTTATTCTTTTTACTTTTTTTTTTCTCTTGGAATTTATTAATTTCGTAGGCATAGAAAAATCAGTTAGCATTCACATTCGGAAATGGTAATATATGATTCCGCATCTGAATCCGAATCCTGCCCATTTATATTTGCTTAATTAAGTATGATCATGAACTGAAGATACTCCATTAAATTAACAATGGTTACTATAATTGTTCTTATTAGAACCAATATTTTACAAATAAAAATATGAGTTTGAGGTCCAAAATTTTGAAAATTTGTTTCATTGAAAACCCCATATTCGAATTTTGAAACAAAAGGGCTAATAAAAATCGAATATTTCCCCTATTTTTATAAAATATTCCCTTGATTGATCAAGAAAGGATGATTCTGTCTCATGTCAACACTGCCCACAAAAACCAAATACGAGCAAAGTCTCCAGATCAAAGATCTCTGTCGCAGCTGGTTGTTTACCAGTGTTGTTCTTGCCGGCACTCCACAGATTCCCGCGAGACAGGACGCAGGAGAGAGATTCAACATGTGAAGCCATTGGAGTTGAAGAGGTTGGAACTGGAAGACCAGACAAAGCAGAGCGGCTTGCTTGGAGGTTATACAAGTCTATGGAGTTTGTCCCCTTGTTCTTGGTGAAGAGATTATGGACAACCAGCGTTTCTCAGGATCATATTTCATCCGCAACAAAACAAATGGATCACCATGCGGCACAAACATGCCTCGAGGCAAAGCAAGAAAATCAATCTTCTTCAGTCTTACTCTTCTTGCGAACAAAGATCCATGTACCCTTCCCCAAGTTCTTCCATCTCAGAATCTCTATGGTCATCACCACTCTCACTTTCTTTGCCACTGTCGCCTTCATCTTCCTCGCTATCCCTTTCATCTTCTTCTTCTTCAGACACACAATCTTCTTCTAGCCCATCATCAAATTCATAAGCTTCATCCTCACCTTCCACCTAAGAAATAGGATCCTTTAGCAAATAAATTTACGGACACAACACAACTATCTATCTACCGCATCCGAAAACAGGAACTATATGTCACCTTATGGTTCTCCTGGTCTTTGAACAGGACTTGAAAGCATTAGACCATAACCCTTGATCCCGATTTCTCAAATCAAAACCGAAGCAACTCAACGATACGCCCTTTCTAAACTGGGAATTATGTTTATCCAACTTGTCTTTAAATCGAATCACTTGGTCTATGCAAGTGAAACCGAATCCACCTCCAATTGTTCTGACAACAACAACGACATCTGGTAATGGTGCTCAAAGGAGATAAACAGCGTAGAATCTCATTCCGTTCTATCTACCTATCTCGCGAGACCAATCCGAAATTTCGTCTGTATTTAAGGGACCGGCTTCGTCGGATACGTAAGGCGTCATCGATGTTGAAGCTTCCGGCTTCTCGTCTCGGCGGCCGAGACAGTGATGTCGTAGTTTACTCCATCGGGCGCGAAGACGAGAGAGGAGACACACCAGTCGCGAGAGAGACGATGAAGAGAGATGGCGGGGCATCATATATATACACATTTGTGTGTATATATTATTTACACGTTGTATTCCAATTTAAATGAATGCATCAAAATCCAAGAGGGGTATTGTTTACAGCCCTGACACGTGGCAATCATATGGATTTCCACGTAGGATGAGACAGCCAAGCAATAGATATAGAGAGAGAAGCGTTTTCGGACCGACTCTTTTCTGGAAGTCCAGTACGCTCTCTCTCTCCTCGATCGATCGAAATCGATGACTCGTTAACTCGGACGATTCCAATATTGAAAGCTGCGTACCTTAAAAAAATAAATAAACCCTTCAAAGAAGTTTTTATTTTTATTTTTAATCTTCTTCGCCAATTGCCGGAAGAATCTTCAGAATATCGCTTCTTCATCTTCTTCGTCTAGAATTCTTTGATTCTACTGTTACTTCCTTCTTACTATTCGATCAGCTTCTTTTTATCATCCTCTGTTTCCCTCTACAGCATTTTTTTTGTTCCCACGCTGGATGAGGTTTCAATTGTTTTTCCCATTTCATTCGGCATTGTGCTCGGATCGATTGATTTGACACGAGTTTTCTGGAATTCTGCAATTGGGTTTGCGTCATTCCCTGTATTTCGACCTGGGTTTGTTCCAAATTTGATTTTTTTCTCTGGTGGAGAGGAGGAGTTTCTTCGATTGGACCTTCTATATTTGGAGATTCGGGGATGTTTTGCTGGGTCTATTAGGGTTTGCATCTGAGTTGGAAAAGAAGGAAGAGGATCTGGGGTTTAGGTCAACAGAATCACGGCAACGAGGATGATCTTCTTGTGGGTATACTAAATCGACGGTTTGGATACGATCGGAGGAGAGACAGCGCCATCAGATGGCGCTGTTCCGACGCTTCTTCTATAAAAAGCCTCCAGATCGGCTTCTCGAGATCTCCGAGCGTGTCTATGGTAAGATTTTCCGACGATTTCATGTGCTTGCAGGAAATAGCATTTCCAGTTTTGGTTTTCTTGTTGTTGGGGCATTTACTTCTTATGTCTCCTGGAAACTTGATGAATTCTGGGCTTTAGAGTTGCGAATTCCCTGAGTCTGAAGTTTTGGCAGCTCGATTGCACCGAAAGTTCTAGTATTTTAGGGTTTCTGAGTTGATTTCAAACGGCCCTTGTTGATTTTGAGATGGATGGTATTTGAGCTGGATTTGTCTCTGGAAAAGGTTCACCTGGCTTTATGCAATTGTGGAAATACTATTCTCTGATGACTTTTCGGCTTTGTAGGATGATACTCCCTTCCTTGTTTCTTTAAGTGGAACCCTAGGCTACATACCTTGCAACTTTTTCCTTTTAGGTTTTGCACTGCCTCGAAAAAGGGTGTGATTTGAGATTCTTCTTCTTCTTTTTGGTATTTAAACTTAGAACGTAATGTTCTATATTTATGGGTTTGCTCCCAACTTCAGGAAAGCTACATTGTACTTTCCGATGGTGAAATCACATTCTTGAATTGGGAGATTTATGGGTCATTTGATCGCAGTGTCAGGTTCAGAGTTGTTCATTTCATCATCTTCTTTGGTTTCTTTGTTCTCTGTTCGTTGTAGTTTTCGACAGCTGTTTCTCCTCCGACGTTTTGGGAGAAGATGAGTACAAGGTGTACTTGGGCGGTATTGTAGCACAACTACAGGATCATTACCCAGATGCTTCTTTCATGGTGTTCAACTTTAGAGAAGGGGAAAAGCGGAGTCAAATTTTAGACATATTGTCTCAATACGACATGACGGTAATGGATTATCCTCGGCCATACGAGAGCTGTCCAGTGTTACCTCTGGAAATGATTCATCACTTCCTACGGTCAAGCGAAAGCTGGTTGTCATTGGAGGGTCAGCAGAATGTGCTGTTAATGCATTGTGAAAGAGGAGTATGGCCTATTCTTGCCTTTATGCTATCGGGACTTTTATTGTACAGAAAGCAATATAACGGTGAGCAGAAGACACTTGAAATGGTTTACAAGCAAGCTCCAAAGGAACTTCTTCATCTTTTGTCTCCTTTGAACCTGCAGCCTTCTCAACTAAGATATCTTCAGTACATTTCAAGAAGAAATCTGGGTTCTGATTGGCCTCCTCTAGACACACCTCTTCTTTTGGATTGCCTGATTCTTAGAGATCTTCCACGTTTTGAAGGGGGAAAGGGTTGCAGACCAATTGTACGAGTTTATGGTCAGGATCCTAAAGCACAATCCAACAGGAGTTCCATTCTTCTCTTTTCCACTCCAAAAACAAAGAAGCATGCTCGCCTCTACCAACAGGTACTCTACAAACTAGTGCTTCTTTCTGACATTGTTCAGCTATTGGTACATGATTTTTTTTTTTAAAATTACTTTCTTCAGAAATGAATCACTGTCTCTTTCTCCCACTTCTGGTTTGATTGCTTTGATAATCTATTACATGCCGCCAAATGCTTCTCTGCTAAGAGAATATGCATATTGTTGCTGTCTGATCTGCAGGAAGAGTGTACCCTGGTGAAATTGGATATTCATTGTCGTGTTCAAGGGGATGTTGTGCTTGAATGTATACACTTGCATGATGATTTTGTGCACGAGGAGATTGTGTTCAGAGTCATGTTTCACACGGCGTTTGTGCGAGCTAATATTTTAACACTCAGTCGTGATGAGATAGATACTCTTTGGGATGCGAAGGATCAGTTCCCAAAGGATTTTAGGGCAGAGGTAGGCCATTGTTATACTTTCACTGATCAGTGATCACTCTTTTTTCTGTGACTGTTAAAATTTGGATGCGTACTCGTACCTGTATCAGGTGATATTCACGGATGCCGATGCCATTGTGTCTGCTATCACAACAGCCCCACCGTCAGAAGATGAGAGCGATATGGACGTGGCTTCACCTGATGAATTTTTTGAGGTGGAGGAGATTTTCAGCAGTGTGGTTGATGGGATAGAGCATAAGGGAGACTCAGATAGTTTTGTAGTTGTTGATGCTGCTTCAGATGATTCAGAGGGTAAAGAAATGTGGAAGGAGGACATGGAGCCCCATGCATTTCTAGATTGCGCATCTGATGATTCAAATCATAAACTTCATGCAGATTCTAGCACAGATTTGGTTAAGGATATTACTGTTGATGATGTGAAGTACAGGTCAGATGGGAAGGCAGATTCTGATATTGACTCGGTGAAGGATATAGGAGTAGATGATGGTGATATGCAGCGAAATGAAAGCACAGTGGAGTTGAAGAAAAATGATTCTGGAACAGAACAAATCCAAGGGAAAGGTGATGGAGAAGGCAATGCTTTGCAGAAGGATGTAGAATCTAGAGCTCAGAAAACATATACCATTCTCAACAAACTGAAATCTGAAAAAACGCAATCTACAGCCAGGAAACAAGTTGGAACAGATGATAAAACAAATGCTGATACAATCAAGCAGAAGTCTAAGCTGCAAGAAACTCAGGGTCCTAATGTAAGGATGGCTAAGCCAAATACAGCATCCCAGTGGATCCCCTCGAATAAGGGCTCATATAAAGATTCAATGCATGTGTCGTATCCCCCGACGAGAATTAACAGTTTACCTGCTACACTTACCAGTTCTATCAAGGATTGGAAAAGAGCTTCATCTCTTGATGGGGTGGTTGTTCTGAAGGATGCTAAGGCAAAATCTTTGAGAGCTAGCGTTTCTGCTCCAGAGATGCGGAGTCGGTCTCCGATTTGTTCGTCACGCGGTCCTGTCGCAAAGGAAAAGACCTCTTCTACACCTTCTTTAGTGCAGACCCCTCCGCCTCCGCCTCCGCCTCCGCCTTCACATCTACCTTCTCTAGCTAGTAAGATGACATCAGTTCTTCAATATTCACTAGCAGCTACATCACCTCCACCTCCTCCACCGCCACCTCCGGTTTGTGGGAACTTGGCTTCCAGAGTTGCTGCTCCGCCCCCTCCTCCTCCACCCCCACTATACTCTTCATTGAGCCAAATTGGAGTCCAATTTAAACCATCTCAGGCTTCCCAACCACCGCCTCCCTCTCCACCTCCACCTCCACCTCCACCTCCACCTCCACCCCTACACCCACACCCGTTAGCATCCGAGAGGCTGAATAGTGGAATCATGGTGCCTCTAGCACCAACACCACCACCACTTTGGAAATCTGTGCATGCTTCATTTTTTCCAACTCCAGCGACTATATCCCCTTCTACCCCTCCACCTCCACCTCCACCTCCACCCCCACACCCGTTAGCATCCGAGAGGCTGAATAGTGGAATCATGGTGCCTCTAGCACCACCACCACCACCACTTTGGAAATCTGTGCATGCTTCATTTTTTCCAACTCCAGCGACTATACCCCCTTCTACCACTCCACCTCCACCACCCCCTCCACCTTTTACCTCATCGATTAATACAAAAGCAAATGCAACTCAAGTTCCCTCTCCCCCTCCACCTCTGGTATATGGATCTGCAGCACCTCCTCCACCCCCTCCTCCTCCCTTTAATCATATTGGTTCAGCCCCTCCTCCTTCAACGGATTACACAGCTCCATCTCCACCTCCTTTACATGGTTCTCCCCCTCCACCACCTCCCCCTCCTTCAATTGGATCTTCACCTCCTCCACCACCGCCTCCCCCCCTCCCCCCCCGCCACCACCACTTAGATATGGAGCCCTATCTCCACCTCCACCTCCACCTCCACCTCATTTTCGTGGACCTCCTCCTCCACCACCTCCCCCTCCTTCAATTGGATCTTCACCTCCTCCACCACCGCCACCACCACTTAGATATGGAGCCCTATCTCCCCCTCCACCTCCACCTCCACCTCATTTTCGTGGACCTCCTCCTCCACCACCTCCCCCTCCTTCAATTGGATCTTCACCTCCTCCACCACCGCCACCACCACTTAGATATGGAGCCCTATCTCCACCTCCACCTCCACCTCCACCTCATTTTCGTGGACCTCCTCCTCCACCACCTCCCCCCTTGAGTGGAGGTGGACTCCCCCCTCCACCACCTCCCCCTTCTGCAACTGGATCTTCACCTCCTCCGCCACCGCCGTCTCCACTTAGACCTGGAGCCCCACCTCCACCTCCACCTCCACCTCCAGTGAGTGGTGGTGGTGGTCCACCTCCGACTCCTCCTTTGTTGCGTGGAGGCCCTCCTCCACCACCTCCTATGAGCAAAGGAGGGCCGACACCTCCACCACCTCCTATGGGCAGGGGAAGGCCGCCGCCACCACCACCTCCTATGGGCATGGGGGGACCGCCGCCTCCACCACCTCCTATGGGCAAAGGAGGACCGCCGCCTCCACCACCTCCCGGTGGCCGTGGACCTGGTCCACCTCCACCTCCAGGTGCACCAAAACCTCCTGGAGTTGGAGGTGCAATTGATCCGAGGGGTGCGGGAAGGGGGCGTGGCCTTGCACGTCCTGGATTAGGAGCTACAGCAATGAAAAGATCTTCTTTGAAGCCATTACACTGGAGTAAAGTGACAAGGGCCTTGCAGGGAAGCTTGTGGGAAGAATTACAGAAACATGGAGAAGTACAAACGTATTGGACTTCCATTACGCTGGTTTTTATTCTTTACTTTTATGGTTCTCTCATAACACCTTTGCATACAGATTAAAAAAAGGTTTGTGAAGTTACTTGCTTTAATGACGGTTCCTCTGCATTAATCTTCATTCTTCTTTTGTGCCAGAGCGCCAGAATTTGACGTATCAGAGATAGAGACTCTTTTCTCTGCTACGGTGCCAAAACCTGTTGATAAATCTGGAGGCCGACAGAAGTCAGTTGGGGCGAAACCTGAAAAGGTTCATCTGGTAAGCTGTACCCGTGGTTTCTGTCAATATTTTTACCCTCGATGTAATTAGGAACCTAGTGGTTACTGTTTGATAGTGGGACCAGGTTCAAAATTTGGTTACAAAAGTGGGAAAGTATGAGACTAAGATGGATATTATGCTTACAAAAGTAATCTGGTTTTTCAGATTGACCTTAGAAGAGCCAATAACACGGAAATTATGCTTACCAAAGTTAAGATGCCGCTGCCTGATATGATGGTAAGCTACAAAATATATTGTTTTTCCGCCTTTTGATTGATCTCTCCTGAAGTCGATGCTGATTAGTAATTTGTTGTTTAGTGAGACAATAATTGTATGCATTTTTTCAGGCTGCAGTTCTGGCAATGGATGATTCTGTTTTAGATGTTGATCAAGTTGAGAATCTTATAAAATTTTGCCCAACTAAGGAGGAGATGGAACTTCTTAAGGTGACCTTTTTAGCTTGTGAAACATTCTCTATGTAATTGGTTCCTTTTAAAAGAATAGTCCTTATGAAATCAAGCCCCCAAAATTCTCTTGTTTTTCTTGCTGACGAAAGTTCTTATTCCTGGCTTGGTGATGTTGTAGAACTACACTGGTGACAAGCAGACCTTGGGAAAGTGTGAACAGGTCTGATGAAGTTTAAAATATTGTGTGATCTTTCACACTTTTTGTTCTAATTATGTGCTTTCCTAGTTAATTTAGTTTCTTCTGTTATGTATTTTGTTGTTATAGTACTTCCTGGAGTTAATGAAGGTGCCTCGAGTAGAATCAAAACTTCGAGTGTTTTCTTTCAAGATTCAGTTCGGCACTCAGGTTGGATGGTATTACTGTTACTGGTAGTTTATATTTGGTTATCCGATTTTTCCTGGATAAGGTTTCTGCTGGTCTCTACCTGTCCTTATCAATGCTTTCCTTTTCTTTTTCCAGATAACAGAATTCAAGAAAAGTTTAAATATTGTAAATTCTGCATGTGATGAGGTAATGCGTTTGCAATAGTTAACTCTATTTTTGATCCGGTCTCTCACTGCAGTTCTACTTATCATAGTTTTAACCTTTGTTGGACATACATCAGGTTCGAAATTCACAAAAACTGAAAGAAATTATGAAGAAGATTCTTTACCTTGGGAACACATTGAACCAAGGAACTGCCAGGGGTGAGCATTATATGATTCTTATATGATTTCTTTGTTTCGTAGAATCCATCTACTAATAACAGATCAATAATATCCCTTTGCTGTTCAATGTGATCCATATTCAACAATGGTGTTGCTTATTTTTTCCTAACATATTACGATGTATGCAGGCTCTGCAGTTGGATTCAAGCTGGATAGTTTATTGAAATTAACCGATACACGAGCTGCTAACAGCAAGATGACTCTCATGCATTATCTTTGCAAGGTATAATGGTTAAACAACGATCTAAAAATCCAAGCTTTAGCCTTTACGAAGGTCGATTTAAGATATAGACTTGCTTCAATAGTATATGACAAATGGTCTCGAAACTTCCTTTTTCTGTTACCCAGGTCCTTGCTTCCAAGGCACCGTCTCTGCTGGACTTTCCAAAGGATCTTGGCAGTCTTGAGGCGGCTACGAAGGTTCTTATTCATGCTTTTTGCCATCCTCTACGCATGATAATCAGTTGGCTCATCATTTTTGTGGATTTTGTCTAGTTCAGATACAACTGAAATCTTTGGCCGAGGAAATGCAAGCTATAATCAAAGGGTTGGAGAAATTGAAGCAAGAGCTTTCCGCGTCGGAAAATGATGGCCCTGTTTCTGATGTTTTTCGTAAAGTATGTCGGTTTATTTTGCTTACTTTGATCAATCATATGATTTGCGATTAGTTGTATAACTAGAACTTCGGGTTTTGTAATATGAAAAGCTGGTAACGTAAAGCGGAATAGCAAACGAGAAGTTGAGTTGGCCATTATTTCATGCATATTTTTTCTTCTTTTGGCCAGACGTTGAAGGAGTTCATTGCTGTTGCCGATAAAGAGGTGACATCAGTCACGAATCTATACTCTGTAGTGGTAATTTTCTTACAGAACTCTTCCAGATCCTTCGGGCTCCTACAATAAACATTGCCTATGATCATATGATAAAGCTTTTGTTTTTGTCATGGACAGGGCAGAAATGCCGATGCACTTGCGCTCTATTTCGGGGAGGATCCTGCTCGTTGTCCATTCGAGCAAGGTAAAATTCTGTCTACAAACTTTTATCTTTCTTTCTCTTGTGGGTTTGCCAACAGCAATACATAGAAATCCTTGTTTGATTGGCCTGAAGCCTTCGAAGAAGCTAATAGTAACACATCGATCTCTCTGCAGTTACTGCAACCCTCTTGAATTTTTCGAGGTTGTTCCAGAAAGCACACGACGATAATGTCAAGCACGCCGAGCTGGAGAGGAAGAAAGCAGAGAAAGAGGCAGAGATGGAGAAGGCCAAAGGGGTCAATCTCACTAAGAAAGCCGTAGATAGCTGACAACTACTGAATCTCATCACCCCCATTCCAATGGGAAGGAACCGCCCTCTTTCCATGGTTCTGTTCAGGGACCTCTCCCAAGTCAGTCTCTTCCGCACTGGTCTGACTACGAAAACCGGCGGCTAGTTTCGTGGCTGTTCCTCGAGGCACATGAACACAAACACCAAAAGGCCTGGCTCTGCCTGCTCTCGAGGTTCCAGAGAGACGTTTCTTGGATGGAACTTGATGAGAAACGATGATCTTGATCTTGACCCTCTTCTGGATGGATTTCGCAGGCACATCTGTAAGGCCGGCCCCTCGGGGGTCAGAAAAGGCGCAGAAGATTACGCAAGTGTACAACTGCAAGGACGTGTACAAAGCTCTAACCCACTCTGGCTACATCACGTTATATTTAGACAATTGGTATTTGATTCATTGTTCTAACTTTGTAAAGTAGATTCATTCTTGTTCTCTTCCAATAGAGGAAGTTTTGGTAGATCATTTGTTGTACAGGGGGGTTTACGTCAAAGGGTTCAGGTAGAGATAGAGATGTAGTAACCTCCACTTAGTTTTTTTTTTTTTTTGTCTTTTTGTTGTAACTGTACCATAATTAACACAATACGTTCTTAGGATTCACATCTGAAAACATAAATCCATGTTTATGCATCTTAAGACACTCTTTTAAGTTTGTTCTGTTTCTTGATTCTTGACCATTTTCAAAGACCCCTGTAATCTGTTCTACTTGTACCCACGAAAATGGTTCAGGACACAGAATGTCTGAAACTGCTTGCCCAACAAAAAAAAAGATACTCTGCATATAAATTGATAATGTGATCTGTGTTTATTCTGTAGACTGTAAGTTTAACCAAAATGTAAATCCAAAGATAATGATTATAACTTTGTGACATGTGACTTTACATGGTTTTGTAATATCGTGTGATTTAAAAAAAAAAATTCGTAAAGATCATCACGTCGTCGAGACAATTGGGAAAAGAGAACAGAATGAACAGTGGAAGTCTTGCAGATGATGGCAGAAGAGTTCCCGTGAAATTTCCTCGTACTGTTCTCTGTCTTCTTCTTTGAGCCCGCTTCAAATTTTCTTTTCTTCTCATCTAATCAAATCTTTAAGAGATTGAGAATATACATATGTTCCCATCATTTTGTCTGATTCTATGCTATCTTTCTCCTGTTCTTGTTCCTCATTCATGGGAGTTCTTGAATACCCTTTGATCCGACGCATTTCACAAACTCCGGTTCGAAGGTTTCGATCTGAAACGAGTACCCTTCTTCTAGATTGGTCTTGCAGCTCTGGTAGAAGAGGAAATTCACTACTGTGTCGAGAATCACGAAGATGGCGTATAAGTAAGCTATGAGCATTCCTTCAGGAACCAGCGAGGCAATGTCTCTGTCGCCGGCGAAATAAGACTTGACGATCCTTGTCTGAAACAAAGCCTCGACGGCTGCTAATCCGATATTCGTAGGCAGAGCCAAAGCCAAAGCCGTGGAAGTCCTTCCACGTATCAGAACACACGCCTTCAGAATCGCCATGTAACCCGACGATGATGATGATGATGACGAAACCAATGCCAAGTTGGAGATCACGAGGGCGTTTGCAAGAATGATGGAGTAGACAACAGCAGCCGAAACAGAGAGGATCCCAAGGAAGATTTGCGAGGAGAATCCGAAGCCTTGGAGGAGATTGAAAGCCATGAATAACAGACCGAAAGCAGATGCGTTTGCAGACAGAAGCAGGAACGAGTTGCAGATATATGTCCTGAGGAGACACAAGTAATCACCCAAGGAAACATCCGAGGAAGAAAGCTTATCGTTTGAGAGAAGTCTGATCACATAGGCTTTGGAAAAGAGAAGGAAGGTGAGAGAGAAAGGGAGGGCGAAGACAGAGGAACAAATGGTTTGCGAGAGTTTGAGGCTAAGGATGTCGAAGAAAGAAGGGAAACCCGCTGCATGAAAGAGAGTATTAAGCCTCGTCCGAAGCGAGGAGAGGGCGGAGGATGAAGAGGAGAAGGGCTGAGAGAGGAGGAGAGCCACCGCGAAGGGGAAGGCGGAGGCGGCGGCCGCCGTCGTGAAGCGGTGGTAGTTTCTGAGGAATGTATGGATCGATCTTCTCATGATCTTGATCGGTTCCTCCATTGATTTGATCTGTAAATTTTTGTTGAAGAAGAATGAGAGAGACGTGTGTTTTCTTGAGTGAACCACCAAATCTTGAAATGGGTTTTCTTTATACAAGGCTCTCTTCTATATGTTATGTGTGTGTATATATAGATGCATGTATATTTTGTGGATTGTGTGTGATTTTTTTTTTATTTCTCTTTTTTAAAATTTTGTATTTTTAAATAATGGTGGGTTGGGTGTTAGAGAAGGAAATAGATAGGCCAACTGAAAAGAACCAACCAATTTTGCCAAAAGGTGAGGAGTTTGTATACACACTTCCTTGTGATTATATATATATATATATATATGTATGTATGTATGTATGTATATATAAACACCTCTTTGTTGCTCTCTCTCTCTCCATATATATATATATATAAAGTATGAGAATTTATAAAAAAACTTACCTAACAAATTGGAAAAGGATTAGTTTTGAAACAAGTTTCATGTCCCCAATACACTCTTGAAAGGTCTTTTGATTGGTGATAAAAGAAAATAATTTTTATTTTATGCTTACAACACACTCCATTGCATATATGTGTATGTATAGATCTGTGTTAAATAGCTAGAAGTGATGTGGGTTATGCATTAGATTTAATGTGTGTGTGTGTATATATATATATTCATCGAAAAATGAGTAAAATTATGAATGATGAGGGAATCAGAAGGCTTAGCTTTCAAGAAATTGAATCATGATAATAAGCCCCAAATGGATTTAAAAAAAAAAGAAATTAATTTAATTTCATTGCTTTGATCATAAAACAACAAATGATTTTGAGTAAGACTTTTTCCCAAACTCATGAAATTTGTCCCTTTGGCATTTTTGAAAGTATGACAAAAAAAAAAACCTACGTTTGTTTGGTTTTCCTCCGAGTAATCAATTGTTATAATGTTTATGCAACTCATAGGTTATATCATTTTAAGATCGATTGATGTATACATTTACTTGAAATTTTAATTCATGTGCTAATCTAAGGTTGTACAACTTGATATGAAATGGGAATTTTTAAAAAAAAAAGTAAAATACAATATTAGAAATATAACCTAAAAAATAACTCGAACTCTAATAATTTCCAATATTTATAATCCTATTTGAACAGAATTAGTTTAATCCATTATAATTTAAATAAATATTAAAATAGTAGATGAAACTAAACCAAAACAATTTTTTTAAAATGAATATTTTCTATGAACGCTAAACCCTAAAATTTTACGAAATAAATCTAAATTTAATATATATTTTTTAAAACCGAAAATTTTCAATCTAAAATTAGCTTAACAAAACCCCCCTACTTTTATATGTGACATGTAAACATGCATGCATGTTTGCATATAAATGGTAGGCCTACATGTATATGTACATGTATATACGTATGTAGTTCTGCGTGAACAAACTCATACAATACGGTGAAAAAAAAGAAAAAACATGCATTGAATTTTTAATTGATAAAAAATGAAATTGTTTCCTTCTATAAACATTAAAATCTCAATTCCATAAATGACTAATTATGCATGGATCTATGGTTGAAGAGTCAACGTCTCGGGGATGAAAATTTGACCCCAAATATTTGTTACGATTATAAAATCCAAATGGAAAAAGAAAAAGAAAAAGAGTCTCTAAATTGTTACATTACCTCGTTTTTTTATATTAATTATGGTATATATGATTTGTTTCCGTTACATATGTTTAAAAAATTTTAAATCAAAATTTATTTTCATCTTCTTTTTTTCCTTAAAAAATAGGTCGAAAACGAAACAAAAAAGTATTTAATTAAACATATTTAGTTATTAATAAGACATGGACATGAAATGATAATGAAATCATAATTATCGTGATAGAACAGGCTAAATTACGACACATTTTCTTACAAAATTGTCGGTAAAGTATGCAAAATGTATATATATATATATATATAATACTAGTTTAGTTTCTATAATAAGATGTAATGTTTGATTATAAGCCATTTTATTGAAAATAACTCGGACAACTAATATAGAAGTGCTACTAATCACACACCGACAATCATATAGTCACATCGAAACCAAAGTCTTAATTATCATAATAATAATAATAATTACTCTTATATACAAAAAAAATTATTAAAATTTAACGCTCTTAATTATAAAAATAATTACTCTTATATACAAAAAAATTAAATTTAACGCTCTTAATTATATGGCACAATTCCACCGTGTGTTTGTGTGTTTAGTACAACCAAAACATCAATTTAACACTTTGGTTAGAGCATATGGGCCTTTTTGCATGCATTTTACACGACTATTATTCGAGCTATTAATTTATATAATTATAATTATGCCGGTTATTATTGATTTTGTCTTATGAGTCACCCAATATATATCCGTTTTCTGAATATTTATTATTATCTTGTTGTGAACATGGATATTTTTTGTATGTGTGCCTAATCATATAAAAAATATCAATATTTGATTAGATCAGTGGAAAAATATGTTAAAATAAAGATTTTAAAAAAAATGAATTATTTTCTTTGTAGTACGTGGAATATTTTGATTTTGAAATTTTTTTATTTTTTTAACGATATATCAGATATATTTATTTTCTGCCATCATTAATTGTTTTACGAAACATGGAGTCATACACTTATTATTTATTTGTCGTAATGTATTATATGTTGTTGAAACAGCCATTTCAGCGTATTGTGACATCCCCACCTAATCCAATTATATACACACGCACATACATATATGCGAGTCTATAACATTCATATATATATATATATATATATGTATTGTTAAAATGGATAACAAAATTATATTTCGGAATTAAAAATAGTGTACTATATATAATCATTTTTTACTGGACAAGATAATCATCATTATTCTAGTTAATTTCAATGGCGTGAAAATAGTCGTGACCCTGAAAATGGCTGTAATACTATTATTCTTCGTTGATGAAAACGGAGATTAAATGTGAATTTCAGATATAATTAAATATGATTATATATTTAACTCGAATGATTAGCATTGTAAATGCACGTGAAGATTGGCTGGAATACATGGTTCTGATCTGTAAAGCTTTGGCCAGAAAAAAAAAATCATTCTGATTTATTTTAATTTCTGAGATTATCCAATTAATTTCTCTCAGAAACATAATTTATATATATATATATATATAAGGAACTTCAGAATCTTGAGCAGCAGCTGGATACTTCTCTTAAGCACATCCGTTCTAGAAAGGTATATATGCCTAAACATTCTTTCTTCTCTTTTTTTTTTTGTAAATATTCTTCCTTTTTCAAATAAAACAAAACATAAGAATATATTTAGTTTGATATCAACATATCGAAGTCGTTATATATAGAGGGTGTGGTCTTGTTATACATATATAGAAACGGTCCATGTCTTGTGTAAGACAAGAGTTAACGTTGATTGGGTTATATGCAGAATCAACTCATGTCCGAGTCCATCAACGAGCTGCAGAGGAAGGTTAGAAAAAAATCACTTCATCTCTCAATTCGAATCCCAAGTACGCGTGTGGGCATGTTACATACATATTTAGAATGCATGTTACATATATGTGACATCAAAAGAACACAATTACGTGGACAATAGTGTTCGGGAGAGACAAATATATATATAATCGATCAAGAGCACTAAATTGTGTTCACATTCATTTGTTCAAGCGGATTCGTTTACTGTTTCTTCCAGTTCAAGTGGTAATAACGCCACTTCTTGATTATTGTCTTGGTTATATATATATATATAATCTCGAATTAGATCTCGTATTGGGCCTTGCAATTGGCCCATTACCATTGACATAACCCAAAGAGTTTGGGTTCTTAACAATAATAACTAAATAATTCATCTGATAATTGAAGTTGATATAAAAGTCAAATAATTATGATTCTTTAAAAGTAATTCAAAGCGAATAAAAAAATTAAACGAAAATTTATTTGAAGCTTTATAATTAAATTTACTTTAAATTTTTTATTGACGTTTGATTCTCATCTCCGGATTCCGTCAGGGGTGATCCCTCTGTCTTCCCGCCGATCAACCACGAGAATCTCCACGTTGCTTCCTTTCTCGATGGAGACGACATGATCCACGATTCCCCCTCCGAATCCTCCTCCCCTGTGTCTTCATCTCGAGGGTCTTCGTCTTCTTCGTTCGTCCTCTCTCTCATACCGATGGGCAACCGCCCTGGACGCCGGCTTAACTTGATCGCAGATCGCCGTGGCAAACTCACGGGACGGAGAGCAAATCTACTCTGTTTTCTTCTGATTCAGACGGCGAATCTCCGCCGCCGTCTGATGCAGTCGGAGAATCGCCGTGGAAACCGTTGAGTCGCTCCTCACGTGAGGCCGATTTCGCCCAGTGTTGGAGGAACTTCTTCTCATTCCCGAAGCTTGAGAATTCCACGACATTTGTAACTTCAGTTCCATCAAGGGGACTCAACGGTCATTATATCCCGTCGTTACCGTCGCAACATGACGGTGGATTCGTTGCTAGGGAGGAACCTACGAGGTCGGTTTCCAATTTTCCTTGCAAGGCGTTTGACGAAATGTCGATCAGACACACTGTTTCTGAGTCTGGTCGTCTCCTGTATTGTCTTGTTTTATAGTTCAGCTCATGCATCAGATTCATGATTGCCCAGACATGAACGACTTACTGATCAAGTACCACAAGAATGTCGTGTCAAGACTCCCAAATTGATCAGAAGATTCTTTCACAGATTCTTTTGTTTCTTCTTCTTCTTCTTCTTGGTTGTTTTCTGTTGTCAGATTTGCTCTAAATGAAAAAAGGATTGAAATTTCCTCCACCCATTAACATTTGGAGCTCTCGTTCTAATTTCATAATGGTACCGTTTGTCTGTGAAATCCAAACATCTTCCTTCCCTTTGGTATATTATAAACAGCAGAAGAGGTTTCGCTTTGTAGTAAAAGGGTACATTACACCAATGTAACATGAAGGACCAATTAACAAAAGAATCTACTCATCATTTGTCTTTGTTCATGAAGTTGAATCCAAGGGCAAGAAATCCAAAAGAAAGGGGGAGAGATCTATATAATCAAACTGTCTGGAGCCATTTCGGTTCCAGCTGCTATGTCTGAGCCCCAATCTTGTCGGGCGTTGTTCTGCGTATATCAAACCTGTTTACATACTCCAATGGGGCGGTTGTCTCGTTCCTGATCCTCTTGATCTTGGGGCTCAACAATCCTCTGTGACCAAACCCGTAAAGCTTAAGCACTTGATTATCGGCAAAGTTAAACGCTCTCTCCATGCTCTTCAGGCAGCGTTCCACCGCGTAATCTGCATAGCTTCCACATGGCTTGCACCCGACAAAGTGTGTCACAAAGGGCCATCTCCCATCTCCCAATCCCGGGTGGTACTTCTCCATCATTTCCTCGTATCTATCCACCAATCCTTCCCAAAACCCATGCAGATAGTACTGATTCTCCACAAAGACTTTGTCCATCCATTGATCTTTCTGGGAAAGCAGCAGATATATCAAGGCGGATTGATCGTCTGCCTCGAATGCCGGCCTTCCCTTCAGATTCGCCGTGAGAATTCTCCCCGCTTCCTCACGGATTGGACCCTTTGGTCCCATTGGCGCCCAAGCATCCAACAAATCCAAAGACCATTGACAGTTTCTAAACAAGAAACTCCCTGTGTTCAAAGCAATCCAAGACTTCTGTTCGAACAACAAATCCGGATAACCATGGATAACCAAGTTATGTTTCTCATACTTGGACAAGGGAATCTCAAACACCATGTCCGTGAACAATGCATCACTGTCCATCCACCAAATCCATTCCACTTCAGGGTGAGACAACATCAATCTCCTGAGCATTGGAAGTTTCGCCCAATACCCAGCAAGCTCCTTGTCCAAATGAGCCATGTTATACACAATCTCGATCCCGTGAAGCCTACAGTAATCAATCTTGTTCTTAACCGACTTCAAAAGGTAATGATCGCCAATGGGGTTGTCACAAGGTTTCGGTGGCGATCCTGTCAGGAGCAAAATCCTAGGTTTGCCATTGACAACGTTAGGAAACTCCGGGTTTTGCGATAGCCATACCTTGCGTTGTTCGTCCCAGTTTGTGATCTTTGGTCCGAGAGTGTAGGTCATGTTGAGATTGAGATCCGACTCGGTCGGCTCGTCGGGGTCGGTGGGATCCGAGTCGGATCGGATCTCCGAAAGAATCCGATTGGTCTCCTCGATGAGGTTCTGGTTGACGGCGTCGGCTTCGGGGCTTCCGAGGTTTATGCCTATGGTGCCGCGAAGGACGAGGATGGTGACGAAGCCGCAGAGGATGGTGATCTTGATGTTGTTGAACGTCTTCTGGATCTGCTTGCCACGTTGTAACCTCCGTCCACCGCCTCCGTTCGCCGTCGTTGTCGGAAGACCAGCCGCGCCGGCGCCGGAGGAGGTACGCTTCTGGGTCGTGAAGCCGTCCTGCCCCATTTTCCAATGAGATTTGGGATCCGTGAAAAAATGGCACCGTGGAAAGGACAAAGCAGAGAGAATTGTGGAAATCCAAAACCCTAGATCGATCGAGGAGCCATTGTTGAGAGAAGAGAGAGAAACACGCGTCCTGCTAGCTTCTGATAGAGACGAGACACATTCGGTTACTGTAATAAATAAGGCCACACATATCCATTTTGGCACCGTCGGTTTAATTCAGTTATTTTTAGACTTAAAACTTTTAATTTTATTTATTTCCCTTTTTATATTTAAATAGTTTAATTTTTATCTAATATAAATATTTATTTTAACAATAATTATAAGGTTTTGATATCAGATTCAGATATTATGAACTTGGATTTGTATACTTTGCAATAATTACCTAATAAATACCTACTTATATGATTGAAAAAAGAGCTATTAATATAATGGAAAATGATGAAATATAATTTACTTATTCCTTTGGAATAAATTTACACAATAAAATATTTAAAAAAGCCAATTAAATTGAAAAAAGACGTCTAAGATATAGGGCAAAAATTGTTCTAGGTTTTAACGATGACCAAACTACAAAAACTTGATGAGATTTGATAAAATGAAATTAAATAATCCAACAAAAAAATATCAGCATGAATTGGACAAAAAAAATCCAAAACCATATGGCCATGTTTTGTGATCTTATTCATGTTGCAAGTCTTCCATGTGACAACTTGAAGATCTCCCACACTGTCTACAGTTCAGAAACCCCACTTCGGCCCTGCATTCATTTACTCATTTGTCTGCAAAAAAAAAAACGAATCTTTAATAATAGTGATAATAAAATCTTATATCTTTTACATAAAAATATCCAATTCCATAATCATTACTTGATTTTTAACTAAATGGGTTTAACTCTTTCGGTTAAATCATGTTGGATGCGATTCCAACGTCTTGAGAGATGACCAAGATTAAAGTCGGTTTATTTCGGTACATTGTTTACCAACATAAACCGAACCGAACCAATGTAAACTGAGCATGGCTCTGAACCTTAACCATTTTTATCTGGTAATGGCTTTAACGCAACACCAACAAAACCAGAATCAGAATGATGACACCATTGCTGTCACAACCGTTCTGAGTTCCATAGATTGTTACTTCAGATACATCAGATAAGCTGGAAGAAATCTGAAATCAACGGCCCGGTTTTTGTTTCTTCTTGCTTTTGCATTTTGGTTTTGTCTTGCTCATCTTAAGCTGCATCTTTGCCTTGAGTGCATCATAATCCTCCATTGAAATCACTTCTTTCTTCTTTGTTGGTTCGAAAGCCTCAGTGACAGAGGGATCTAGCAAATCTACCGAGCAACGAAGGGTGACACCGAGAGACATTGCCTCATTCCAAAGCTCTCTTCCCCTCTCAAAGTCCCCTCCTTTACAAAGTTTTTGTATAAGCACGTCATAAACTGCCCCATAGCCACCCACTGAGTTTCTCTTCATCTTCTCAAACAACTCAATCGCCAAATTCACCCGCTTAACTCCGCAAAGAATCCCAATAAGATCATAGTAGATCTTGCATTCAGGTTTCAACCCTCTTTCAATCATCTCATCAACCACTTTGTTACCTTTCCCGAACCTCCCTGTCAAGTACAGCATTCTCGTGACGAGGTAGTAGCTTGTTGAATCGGGATCACACCCCGATTGCTTCATTTGCTCAAGAATCCGGCAAGATTCTTTCACCCTTCTCACTCTTCCCAGACTAGAAAGCAATATGTTGTAACTAATGGACGTGGGCGAGATTTTATAAGACCTCATCTCCGACATAACGTTCAATGCTTCGGGAACAAGACCAGACGGGTTTCGTCTAACGTTCCGCTCGCAGAGGCAGCTAAGCAAAGTGTTGTAGCAAAAAATATCCGGGGCAATCCCGGCTGATTTCATTTCTTGTATAACTTTTCTTGCTTCCTTCACATTTTTTTGGATCGATAACCCATACAAAAGACTTCTATACACACACAATTCGTTTCCCAAGATAATTTCCTTGTGATGATGCAAAACTCCCAGAGCTTTCTTCACATGCCCTCTGGAGCAGAGAGCACTGATAATGGCTGTCACTGTGAAACTATCTTGCGGGCAGGAAAACTTGTCCAAGCTCTTGAAAATACCCAATGCCTCTTCTTCTCTACCGAGTTTTACCAAAGATTCAGCCACAAGGCCAAATGTTTGTCGGTCCATTGCCAGTTTTTCCTCCCGTATATCCGATAGCAGTAGCTGTATAGCCGTATGATCCCTTTTCTCAGCCAAAACTCTCAGTACATAGTTGAATTCCTTGTCATCTAAGCAGGATCCCGGGTTCCTACGTGACCACGAGAAAAATCTGAGCAGCCTTCTCGCTGATGTCTCATTCCTGCAGGAATCTATTACTTGGGTAACAAGTTTGGATGATACCGAAACCGAAACCCGGTTCAGCATTTCCTCGAGGTCATCCAGACCGCCAACGGGGCTCGATACAACCCGGCAAAGCGCCTGCAACTCAGTCGATGCATCACCTGTTCCATCTCTTATAGGCGAAAAACACAAAGAACGTTTGGTTTTCCCAAGACTCGGTAGAATCGAAAACCGGATTGATCTGAATACGGATCTCATCTTCTATGAGGAATTTCAACAAACACTTTATATGCATGTGCTCTTTGGATGTAGGAAAAAGAGCCAACCCCACCAATCGCGAAACTGAACATCAGAGTATCAAACCCTCGAAAATGTCTACAGCATCCATGAAAATTTTCCTGAGGACACGAGCTGAGATTCGACGAAAGACATGAAATCTGCAGAAGTCCACAAGAACACGCGCTCATGTATACACACACACGTCTCTGTGCTATATCGGGGGTATTTTGGTCATTTCATAAACTTGTTTTTAATGTATTAATGATATAAAGATTAGCTGATAATAATTTATATCTGAAGCGGCATATCATTTATCAGACCGGATTTTGATATCCGATCGTGTATTTTTTTAAAGAAAAAAATTGGGTTAAACCGGTCCAACAGATTCGGACCGCACCGGTCCGGTTAATCATGGTTAACAAAAGAATTGGTCAACGACAACAATCAAAATCTGAATGTAGGGGAAAACGTGTCTTGTAATGACAGGTGAAAACATATTTTAAATGACTGCTTTGCATTTCCTTACCTTTTTTCACTTACTTTATAATTTTTTAATGTTTAGAATTTAAAATTGAGATTTCTTTGGTATAGTTGATGGGTGGTTTGACTGTGATTCTGATTTATAATTATGTTTTTTTTTTTAAATTAAAGAATAATGGTTGGAATTGTCAACAGATCAGACCTCTTTTAATTATTTTAAATTGGTATACGATTTCAAATTAAAAATGTAATTAAATTCGAAACAACAACATAAACATATGATTACTGAATCTCAGAGTTTATGTTTTCTACATATTTTTATTTTTATTTTTTGTTTCTATTTTAGATGCACCTTATCTTCGTCCACCATTTAAATTTGATAGATCTTTTTCTAAGTGACGTGGCCTTCTCTGTATCTCTACCAAACTATCCACACCACTTTTCTCCTCCTCTCTGCACTTTTTCCCTTCCCCACCTTCCACGTCATCTTCTTCTCTAACATATTTTATATGCGCACTACGCACCTCTAAAGAATCCACGATCTCCAGCGTCCGTTCTGTGCCGCTTCAACGGCTGAGATTTTTCTGGTCGCAAATCGCGTCTAGAAAAGTTGACAACAGAGAGACAAAAGTCCCTCTCGTGATTTTTCTCACTCCTCTTGTCGGATTCCTCCTCCTCTCGCCCCCGGCGTTTCCCATCTTGCGCCGCTTCTCCGGCGATTCTTCTGTTCTTGTCGGCTTCTCTGATCTATAATTCTCTGGCGTCCGATTTCCCCGGAAGAAAAGGAGTTCACTTTTTTTCTTTTTCTCTCTGTTTTTTCCCTTTCATTTGTTCGTTCTTGGGTTTTGCTTTGCTAGTCTCATGGCTAGAGATAAGCTGGGGCGATGAGGAGGATCAGTGTTTTGTCTGTGAAATTGAGTAACTTTGTACTAATGACGGGTTCGGCGATCCGGATGTCATAGCGTTGATTTGGGTTCTGATTCGCCATGGAAGTGCTCTAGTACTTTCCGATTTTCGGTTCCAGTGGTGTAATTTTGTGTTTTTTTTATCGGATAGATTGGTTTATGTGATTCGACAGTTGGTGGGTTTATCTGGAATTCTGGTGATGGAATTGAATAGCGAGTGTAAGGGGGGAGATGGGTTCATTGATAGGAGCAAAGTCAGGATTCTGCTTTGCGACAGCGATTCGAAGAACTTGAGAGAGGTCTTCACCCTCCTCACAGAATGTTCTTATCAGGGTATGAGTCGGAACTGATTGGTTCTCCTCTGTTTTTTGTTGTTTCTCGATGTTGTCCGGCTGATTTTCTTATGTTCAAGATGGAACTACTGTAAAATCTACCTTATGAATCGTTGGATTATGAAGATCCAGTGACTCGTTACTGAGTTTTGTCTTTATTAGTTTTTAACCGATCTGGTGTTTGTTTTCTTCCAAGGATGGGTTAGCATCTTGCTTATTTGAATTTTGGACAATCACCTTTTCTTGGAATTTGTATGCAGATATATTTCATTAGCTCTTGAAAGGGCAGGGAATGATGGTTTTGGGGTTTAGCATTCTTTTCATCAGTTGGTTCCATAGTTTTTCATTCTCTCAGTTTCATATTACTGGCGTTTTTTCCCTTTCAGTGTTGAAAATGGACCTATTTATTTGTGTTAAAATGCAGTCACTCCAGTGAGGTCAGCGAGGCAAGTGATTGATGCGCTCAATGCAGAAGGACCAGATATTGACATAATACTGGCCGAGGTCGATCTCCCGATGGCCAAGGGTATGAAGATGTTGAAGTACATCACACGGGACAAAGATCTTCGCAGGATTCCCGTGATCAGTAAGTTCAGTTATCCTGTTTGTAAAATTTCTGGATTGTTTTTCTTTTCCTGAAGAGATGTTTATTTGTGGGCGTATGATCTCATTTGCTTTATACCGACTAATCTAACAATATTCTCGATTCAAGTGATGTCGAGGCAAGACGAGGTTTCTGTTGTCGTCAAGTGCTTAAAGCTAGGGGCAGCAGACTATCTTGTGAAGCCTCTTCGGACGAACGAGCTTCTGAACTTGTGGACACACATGTGGAGAAGAAGACGCATGGTTTGTTTTGCTTTTCTCGACTCTACCCTGCTTAGTGTAGTGTCTTTAGGACCATTTCATGATATCAACATTCGTACTTGCCCATTCTCGATGCTTTCGTTATCTGATTAATGGAATTCAGGCATGTCTGTCTTGTATGTGCATCTGTATCTTGTGTTTCTATAGTATAGCTTCGATCTGCTCCGAGGGAGATGTTTTGTGTAAACCTTGTTAGAGGGCAAAGACCCACTTTTAGCTATTCTGTATATGGTGTAATATCTGCCAGAAAAGGGAAGAAACATCAACTCATTCGTGTCGGGTAATATGTTTATATTGTATTTATCTTCTTCTATGTTTCTTTCGGCAGCTTGGACTTGCTGAGAAGAACATGTTGAGCTATGATTTCGATCTTGTGGGATCGGATCCAAGTGATGCAAACACAAACAGTACCAACCTGTTCTCTGATGACACAGATGACAAGAGCCTTAGGTGCACCAACCTGCAGACAGGAACTTCAAACAATCCGGAAAATGAGGTGATTAAATTCTTGATTAAGCCTTAACGTTCTTCCTTTTCCCGTATGATTTTGGACGATGTCACACCCCCTTTGAGATTTGTTATTCTGCTTTGGTGGCAGTGTTCTGTTACTGCTATATTTTCTAGTGTTCATGTTGGTGATGGCTGTGGGGCTGCTGATGGTGCAGCCACTTCTCCTCCTGCTGTTGCAGCTATGGAGCCTGAACCGGCTCATCTGGCCGGGTCTTACCCCTATGAGGCAGCCAATAAAGATAGCAATGAAGGTGCTTATTACTGTTAACTGTGTAACGATACCCGGGTTCTTTTCTGTGGATTTTAATAAAGCAAAAGGGTTCTTGTTCTTGCAGGACGATTTTCTTCTGGTCCGAAGAAAAGTAAATTGAAGATTGGCGAGTCGTCTGCTTTCTTCACATACGTAAAGTCCACTGTCTCGAAAGCCAACTGTCAGGATCTTCCCCGTGTCAATGAAAATGGTTCACACCATTCTGGTGTAGAAGCTGGCAAAACCAATCAAACGTACCGAAGAAGTGGCAGGAGCTTTCCCTACTCCATGGAACGGTCATGCACTCCTCCCATGTCGATGGAATTCCATAACAGGAGTTACCATGAGGGAAACATGAACACGTCTCTGATTCCAGTGAACTCGGGTAAGGAATCATCTCAAGCCGGTGTTTCTGGTTTCTCTGGGCAAACTGCTTATCCATATTATATGCATGGGGCCATGAACCATGCTATGATGCAATCAACAGCCCATCATCATACCCATGCCTCCTCAGGAATGATGATGTCTCAATACGGTCATCATTTTCAGCATTGCCCTCCCAACCATCCTAATGAAATGGGTGGATTCCCTTACTACCACCACCCAATGAGCGTGTCTTTACAGCATGGTCAGATGCCGATGGTCCATCAACCTTGGCCGCCGGCATCTTCGAATGAGGTGAAGCTGAGTAAAGTTGACAGAAGAGAGGAAGCACTCATCAAATTCAGACAGAAAAGGAACCAGAGGTGCTTTGATAAGAAGATAAGGTACGTGAATAGGAAACGCCTTGCCGAGAGGAGACCGCGTGTAAGGGGGCAGTTTGTGAGGAAGGTGAATGGCGTGAACGTTGATCTTAACGGGCAGCCTGACTCTGCTGAATATGAGGACGACGATGGCGATGACGACGATGATGATGATGATGAAGAGGATCATGTTGATGATGCCTTGGGGAGTTAAAACATCAAGAAGAAGCGAAATCATGAAGGGTATTTCTCTATTTCTTGGTTGCTTTTCTCCAGTTACCAATCATACGATCTTGTTGTAGTATATTCCCGTTTGTATGAGGCTTCTGCTCGAGTTTCCTATTATAGAATGTCCAGAACCAGAAATATCGAAGTCTCTTATTGAATGAGAAGGTTAAGGGATATCTTTAAGGGAAAATGACATTTTCCTACACGAATTTATCAAAATGTGACATTTTTCTACACGAATTTTTAATTTGACAAATGTCTACACTCAATTAACAAATTTCCCAAATACCTACACGAATTATCCAATTTTAGTGCAATTAACTACACAATCCGAAATTATCAATTAATTGCTGACGTGGAAGGCCACGTGGCGGCTCACGTGGTATGCCACGCGGGATTTTTTTGCTATGTCAGCGCGAATAAAAAAAAATAAAATTTTTTTCCTAGAAATAAAAATAAAAAATACATATATAAACATATATATGTATTTATATATTTGTATGTATATAAATTTAAATTTCGTATAGATTTTAAAAAGTATATATTGTATAAATTGGAATTTTATACAAATATATTTATATATATACACATACAAATATATAATATATTTGTATGTATGTATATGTATATATATTTGTGTATATATATATATGTTTATATTTGTATTTCTATATATATATATGAATATACACATATATATTTATATATTTGTATGTATATAAATTTAATTTTTTTATAAAATTTAAAAATATATATATATATATGCATACATATAAATATATTTATATTTTTTATTTTTATTTTTTTTAATTTGCGCTGACGGTAAAAATCCCACGTGGTATGCCACGTGAGCCGCCACGTGGCATGCCACGTCATCAATTAATTGATAATTTCGGATTGTGTAGTTAATTGCACTAAAATTGGATAATTCGTGTAGGTATTTGGGAAATTTGTTAATTGGGTGTAGACATTTGTCAAATTAAAAATTCGTGTAGGAAAATGTCACATTTTGATAAATTCGTGTAGGAAAATGTCATTTTCCCTATCTTTAATAATATATTATATTAAAATACAAACCGCTACCGCCGAGGGCAAACTTAATAAACCGGAACAAACCATTTTTAATAATATATTATATTAAAATACAAACCGCTACCGCCGAGGGCAAACTTAATAAACCGGAACAAACCGGTTGTGTATACCAATGTTCAGTGGGAAAGATTCAAAGAAGCCCTCAAGGGTCGGACAGAACAAGCCTCGTACGATCTCCAGATGTTGAAGCTTCTGCTTTCGGATCGTAGAAGATTAGCTTACTCCTACAAGCTTCAATCTTCCGCCTTCAGATCGTTCTCTCACTCTCCATGTCCGTCATCGCTCGCCTCGTTGTCGTCTTCGTCGGCTACTTCGGATTTGGTTGAAGCAATACTGAACTGCAGATCGGCGGAAGAAGCGGTCAAGCTGTTCGAATCGTCTTCAGGACCAGTTAGTTCGAAGACGAAGGATCTTCGACCTTTCTCGGCGACAGTTCACCTCCTTACCAGTGCCCAGAAGTATGCGCAGGCAAGGTGTTTGATAAAAAGCCTCATACAAGGTCTCTGCCGCAACAGCAAGCCGACCAATGTCGGATACAAGGTCTTCAATGCTCTCAAGAATGTAGAAAGCCCTAGATTCAGTAATGGGGTGTTTAATCTCTTGGTCATGGAGCTTCTCGAGATGGGGTTGTTCGAGGAAGCACTCTCGGTGATCCGAAAGATGAGATGTTCGCCTGATTTGAAAACTTGCCATGCGATTTTGAATGGCTTGGTTAAAAGGAAACAGTTTCATTCCGTTTGGGAAGTCTATCAACATATGATCTCCCATGGGTTGGTCCCTGATGCGCACATTTACTCGGTCCTGTTTGACTGTTGTTCGAAACAAGGCTATAGTTCTAGGAAGGAGAAACTTCTCAAAGGCATGGCAACCAGAGGAATCCAGCCGAATGTTGTTATATATACTTTGCTTATCCGTGACTTGTGCAAGAAAGAAAAAATGGAGGAGGCCGAGAAAATGTTCCAACTGATGAAGGAGCATGGCATTCTTCCGAACTTGTATACTTATGGCACTATGATCAACGGCTACTGCAAGGCCTCTCAACTTAGACCAGCGTATGCATTGTATAAGGAGATTCCGGTTTCTGGGTTGCTGCCAAATGTTTTCGTGCTTGGCATATTGGTCGATGGGTTTTGCAAAGTTCACGAATTAACAAATGCAAGGAGCCTTTTCGTGCATATGGTCAAGTTTGGGGTTGATCCTAATTTATTTGTTTATAACAGTCTGATAAATGGATATTGTGGATTGGGAAACATGTCTGAAGCATTGGGATTGTGTTCAGAGATGAAAAGTTTGAAACTTTCACCTGATGTGGTCACTTATAGTATACTTATTAAGGGCCTTCTTAGTCAAGACCAGTTAGAGGAAGCGCACGGGTTATTTCAGACGATGAAGGATGAGAAAATTGTTCCTAATTCAGTGACTTACAATTCACTGATTCATGGGCATTGCAAAGAAGGCAATATGGAAAAAGCATTGGAGTTATCTTCAGAGATGACGGCATTTGGTATAGAACCTAACATCATAACTTTTTCTACTTTGATCGATGGTTACTGCAAAGCATGCAACATGAAAGCTGCCATGGGCTTGTATTCCGAAATGATCATCAAAGGCATAGCTCCCGATGTTGTGACTTACACAGCTTTGATTGATGGGCATTTCAAAGATGCCAACATGAAAGAAGCAATCCGGCTGTACAACGAAATGCTAGAGACTGGAATCTGCCCCAACAGTTACACTTTTGCTTGCCTGGTAGATGGGTTATGGAAAGAAGGGCAACTTTCCAAAGCCACTGATTTCATCTTGGCATTCAGAGAAGACAATTCAGAGAAAACCAACCCTCGAAGTGGCCTCTCGAATCATGTGGCTTATACAAGTTTGATTCATGGATTGTGTCAGAACGGCTATATTCTTAGAGCTACCAGGTTCTTCTCAGACATGAGATCGGTGGGTCTAAACCCAGATGTTAGCAGTTATGTTTCAATGGTAAAGGGCCATCTCAAAGAAAAGCGCATCACTGATGTGATGATGCTGCACTGTGACATGATCAAAACTGGGATGTTACCAAACCTTGTGGTGAGTCAATTACTTGCCAGGGGTTACCAAGAGAACAGTTATCTAAGATCAGCATGGTTGTGTGCAAATGATACAAGTCCCATTCTTGAAGGATCCAAAGTATTAAAAAACCGAGTTTGAGCTCAGTGAATCAACAATGGCAGATTTGGCCTATACTCTTTTTGTGTGTGTGTGTGTGTGTGTGTGTGTGTGTGTGTGTTGCTGCAGATGCAATCTCATAGTAGCCTCTTGCGGTGTAAATAGGATATAAGTTCTCGCAGAACTTAGAGCCAAGTACCATGAAAGGTAAATGAAATGTGACATTGTAGGAGAAACTAATTCTGAATGGAACATCTGTCTGCAAGAGTTCCACTGTTTCATCCGGGTGGAGCTTTGGTCAAGAACCTTTATGTAGTAAAATGCTACCTTTTATGAAGTGGCGAAACGAATTGAACAACTTTTTTGTTGCAGAGTTTCATGTGAATTCATGCAATCTGTGTCTGTTCCCCAATCTACAAGATGAATTCGTACAGTATGGGTGTGTATATATTATATATATTGCAGCTTGGATGTTGATTCTTACAGCTTCTTGTTACATCCTCCCTAGTATAAGATGGAAATAGGCAAAAGGCAACAAATGACTGACATGAGGGGCCATCTTCTTTGGCTTTGAACTGCTCCTGCGATTTCAGTAAATGTAATGGCCAACCCATCAGTGAAAAGAACAGAGATGGCAAAATAGTTTAACCCATCTAAAAAGCAAATTAATCAGAAATCGAATGTGCTAAACAAACATGAATGTCCTCAAGCTATATAAGAAAACCCAAACTATGTTAAACCAGTAGAAAAGTTCTTCATCTTATGAGAGGACAAACTCCTGCTGGTCAGCCCCAGCCGAAATCCCTGAACCCGCAAAGTTCGGAAGGTTTTGATACATTAGAAACGGTCGGGTCTAGGGTTTAGGGTATTTGCTTTCCATGTTTTGCCATTCACGTTTCAGAAAACATCTGAGCTCGAGAAGCGGGGAAATTCAGAACACAGCACCACAAAAGGTATTTTTTTTTTCAATACCAAGAGTCGTCCCTGCTCATGGGAAGAAGATGAGAAGAGACTTACAAGAGATTCAGGAACAGAGAATCACAAACTTGTCCAGGGGAGTCTTATAAGCTTTGCCAAACATCAAACGGCCACTGCTTCTGGCCTCTTGCTAGTTTTGATTCCTTTTATAGCTGCAAATTCCAAAAATAAACGTGCACGGATGAATATCAGAAATAACGCCGGCAGAAGAGAAATGGGGCATTCCCGTCATGATGATACTATCGTCTTCTGCTTTCAGACGTATATACCTTCCGCATAGTCCGGGGCTCCAAACACAGCTGATCCAGCCACCAGAGCATTCGCCCCAGCCTCAATAACCTATTAGACCGGCACAATGTTTATAGTAAAAACACCGATCCGGGCATACGAGAAATCAGAGTGCCGATATATTGGCTAAAAGGAAAGAATGGGAGAGGTTTTGGACTTCACCTTGTATGCATTCTTCGGACCTACACCGCCGTCAACTTCAATCCATGGGTTTACTCCCTGCCGAAACCATCCACGATAACGTTTCAACAAAAAAAAAAGAAGAGGCTCCCCGTACAAACTAATAGGAGTGGATATAAAGCTTACACCTTTGGAAGTACAAAACCATAGAAAGGGAAGCAACTAGATTACCTTTTCCGCACACATTCTTCTCAAGTCGGAGATTTTCTTTACTTGGCTTTCGATAAAGCTCTGTCCACCAAATCCAGGGTTGACAGACATTATCAAGACCAGATCAACCACTGATGCCAGAATCAAATGTTAATCCGATCAGACCCATTTTGACTGGTGAGCATTCAGGATGGACAAATGCATAGCAAAGGAAACATAAAACAAAGTCAAAGAGAAAAAAACCTCACCGTCCAACACATATTCTATGGCGCCCAATGGCGTCCCGGGGTTCAGTACAACTCCGGCTTTGGCTCCCAAGCTTTTTATCTACAATGCAGTCAGATGCAAAATAGGTTGATAGAGAGAAGATTAAACCGGAAGCATGAGAATAAAGGACAAAAATTTTCAAAAGACCTTAGCATGAATACTGAATAGTCTTACTTGGTTGACGGTACGATGCAAATGGATGGTTGATGACTGCTCACAATGTACGCTGACTATGTCAGCACCGGCTTTGATGAAATCCGGTACTCTCTGTTCGGGTTCCACTATCATCTGAAATAGAAACTCTTTTACTTGAAAAATATCATTGAGAATAGAGAGAGATCGGCAAAGGGACCAAGCTTACGAGATGAACGTCCAAAGGAAGATCCGTCACAGGGCGTAGAGCATCAACCACCAGAGGTCCAATTGTGATGTTGGGAACGAAACGACCGTCCATTACATCAACATGAATCCAATCACAACCTGCCAACTCTACTGCTTTTACCTGACAGAATGGAAAAGCATCAGAGAAGGGAACAAGCTCTAAGGAACAAAACACAAAGAAGATATCGGAACAGAAACACTGAAGTAATTTGGCAACATACCTGCTCGCCCAATTTTGAGAAATTGGCTGAAAGAATCGAGGGAGAAACAATGATGTCGCTTTTCGAGAACTTATCCACGCGAGAGGTGGCCTTCACGACAGCATGAGCTTTCTTTCTACACAATTCACATACCGATGATGGGATAGAAAACTCAGTGTAGGATCCACAATTGGTTTCATTTATCAAAGAATGCCAGTGGAATCTCTCCTCGTTGTCATTCACCAGGCAAAATCAACATCGACCAACCTTGTCACTCAGCTTACAAATGATGACATGTTTACTCGAGCATATCCACAAACACATGAAGGACATCAAACAGGATCTCATACTCTATAAGAAACTTCATTACAACAATACCGGTCAGCAAAATTAAACAGGAATATGAGGAAAATTTCAAAGTGAAATTCAAACACACGAAATTGAATGAAGATTAATACTCTCCAAGTGAAATTCAAACACACGTTCTGGGAAATTTCAAAGATTTATCTTTGGATGTGAAATTCCAACAATCAAATCAAAGCTTCGACCATCCAGCAATCATGAAAACCCAAATCTGACTTGAAACTCCAGACGAATCTCAAAGAAACCAAACGAAATTGTCAATTTCAAGAACAACTAAAAATAACATATCACCTGGAGAAACAGAACGAATTGGGCCGACAAAGAATCAATCTTTCCGGCCTAAGACCGAACCCACTGATCTGGGTTGGTGAGCAACACAACGAGGCAGCACTGCTCGACATGTCCCAAATTATCTCTTCCACAAAACTTCGATTTCCTATTAATTGAAAGCACAAAACTTTCTCTCACTAGAATCCCGCAAGGGTTGGTGGGTAGTGAGAGAAATCCAATCGTTTTATCTCTCCTTTCGCCCCAATCTCTCCTTCTCAGACACAAAAAATCAAAACTTTTTTTCCGGGAAAATTTCAGGAAAAGGAAAAAAAAGGAGAGAAAAATCTGAGAAATTGCGACGAGAAGCCACGTGTGAAATGGGGCTCGTGGTCGACGTCCTCAGCTCGGAATGCTTATCCGCAACGGTTGGCGCTCTGTTGCCAACTTGTACAATGTCCCAATCTTCATCCAAAGAGACAGGCCCTTCAGAATCCCATTATCGGTATTTATTGTTACCTGTAGGGTCATTTTCGTAATTTTCTTAAATCTGTTCTGGTTACTGCCCGGTTACCGAATTCCGGTACACCGTTTTTACATAATCCACGGTTTTATCGAACCGCATTTTGGTTCGATGGTTTTAGGGGGCCAGATTCGGTTTGATGCAATTACGCCCGGTTCGATTTTAAATTGATCATGATCTCGCTACTCGAACAGAATTAAATTTTAAAATATTATTCAGAGTGATAATAAATTGAGTTAAGGGGATTTATAGGATTTAGTGTGTATATATATATTCATAGTTTGAAATAAATTAATTATTAGTCCAAAACAGACAGACGCACTTTGAGTTTGGGTTGTTACCAAAGCCATGATTCATTATTTTATTTTTTTTTTAAAGTGAAATGCAGATCGATAACATTGGGCTCGAATGGGTTGAAGCAAACATTGGGCCTTGAAGCCGATGATAAACTAATTTAGGTTGATTAAAAAAAATACAGAATATTTTACGAGAACTGAAGATTAAAGATTATATAATTGTTTGTTTTATTATCACTTTTAGTGTTGATCAAAATTATCCGATAAAATTTTAATTTTGAACCCATCTCAAGTATTGAGTGGTTTAAATTTTGAATTTGAACGGTACATATGTATTATTTACGGATTAATATTCGGATTTGAATATTTATTTCAATATGAAATACTCGTGATTTTATATTCACTATAAAAAATATAATTTATTTTTTCAATTAAAAAAGTTGATTTCAGATATCCAAATTACTAGAATTCGAATTCGAACATTTAAATTTGGATTTGAATGTCCTAAATCTGGGTTTGAAATTATCACAAATTTAACATGGTTGTTGTATTTTAATTATGGTAATGAATAACATACAGTGTGAGGAGATATACCTATTGCTGCTTCCTGTTTTTAATTAAATACCATCGGATGGAATATTTTTATAAGTTGGAAACGTGACATATTTTGCATATATGTGGTTGTAGCTGCATGTCTTTTTGTGATCTCTAAGGCCGTTTCTATATACATATATATATATATATATATATATATTTTGTTAAATCATGAAGTTCATCTGGGTCTTCGGCCCAACCTACATTTCTTTGGGTCCGGGAGCAGCCTTTGAACACACAACCTTTGGTTATGCCTCTCCCTCCCCGCATGTCTGGATTCGAACCCCTGACCTGGAGGAGGAACATCCTCACTTCCAATCCAGGTACCACTCGACCACAGACATGTGGATATATATATATATATATATATATATATATAT